CATTCACTTAATTGTGATTGATAGCCATTTAAGGCTTATTTGCAATGACAAATTCGATGATAATAAAAGAAGGCATTAAAAACTGATTTGATGGGAAATGACTGATCCATTTATTAGTGAACCTTAAAATCGCTGAAGCAAGCTCAATCACACACAAGCACACGCTCATTTGCCTAGAGTGTGAAACAGCAATGAACGGAGACAAAGCGCAGAGAGAGGAGCGAGGCGGAGGCAGATAGAGAACGACAAATGTAATCAAAATAAATTACGAGCGTGTAAGCAGCCTCCGGTGTCTATTAAGGGCAATAAAAGGAAAGCACCATTTGTTTAACGCAATCTCATTATTAGATGCGTCCCGCAGCCGTTGAGGGTACAGCTGCTGCAGCCGAGAGGCGAACGCCGAGAGCAGAGAGCTGAGAGCCCTGAGCTGAGTGATAGGCCAGTGAGGTTAGGGCTGGCAATGACAGTCACGACCCGACCCACAGTAGTTGTTGCCCTCGCTGCCTCGCTGCCATCGACTTGATAATGCCGCTGATTATGCTGATGATAAGTAATTTTGTAAACTCGAAACTGCAGACCGAGAATGTGGCTGGAAAGCGGCGTTAATGCGCCCGTTGATTAGTCAGTCAACTCAGTGAAGAGAATGGCGCTGGGTGCTCCGTGCTGCTAGCTGCTCCATCAGAGCATTTGCCTTCGGAGGTGCTCTGACACCGACAAGCCGACAAGCTCATTATGCCGCCAACAATTTGATTAATTACACGACGCTCGCAGCTTGGTTTTTGTATGCGGCCCTGGCCCTGGCCCTGGCGGGCACCTTCTTCAGTTGCTGCAAAGGATTTGTGCATTATGAGGGCAACGCTTTTGCGTTCGCTTTTGCTCTCGCCTTCGCTTTGTGCTGCGCCTTTGCCACATACAAAGTCTATGCGAAATTTTCGGTTACCTTAGGCCACACCAACACTAACAAACAGCACTGGGCAATCATTTTTATGGGCGCCCTTCCGGGGCAGGTGCTTAACAGTTGACATTTATAAGCTGGGCGTGGCTGGCGCTGCTTCTCTAATGATATTAGAGTTCGGTTGCAATGCCGCTGACAGCTCCACAGAATTTTGGCAATTTTAATGACCATGTAATGAAATGTAGACAGCGGCAACATTTAAATACCACAGAAATGAGCGCAATGAAAATATGTGAAA